AGTGTTCAAAGAAAGAATGGTTCTGAAATTAACCAACTAAGAGTAACAGTATGCTACTCTATGACTGAGTGCAAAGGTGAGTTTTGAGATATTTGATTGGGGATTTCATGTTGCATGGTAACTTACCTTAAGGCCTTGATACAGATGTCTTCTGCGTGGAAAGGGAGATGTGAAAGCGTTGCAGGCTTACCATCTGTCTGTCACTGATGGCTCATTTGTAAGTTGTCGTCATTGGAGCTGTGAGGTCAGCTGGTCAAGCAAACATGAGGAAGCTGCCAAGGAACAACACGTGTCTGAAAGAAAAAGAAAAGGCAGAGCCCCGCAGGACTTAATTAGTTTGATATTTTCTGATTTCATTTTCTGCCAAAATGTGAAAGGTGAGACAGCTTTTTATTTAGAATCTTTGTAATCACAACTACTCAAATGTTTATGTGGGATGTACTGAAATTTCCTTCTAATACATGCAATGATCAGCCACAAAACAAGAGGTTACTAAAGTGAGTTAAAACTTATGAGCTGAGGCCATTGATTATTGTGCAAGAAACAGTCACCACTGGAACCAAAAACTGATGAAGAATCATAGGGATAGACTAACCCTAATCCATAACACAAAAAACAGCCATCAATCATTTTCAAAAGATAAAAGATTGACCTCTTATTACCATTTTCCTGCTCCTGTTGGAACTGGGTCTACACTGAAGCTGAATGTGACATTTTTTCCTCAGCATGATGATTTTCAGCAGCAGGGACCTACAGGTGGCAGTGACACACTGACAGTGTCTGTTCAGAAGGCCATGAAAACTGACAGGAGTCTGGATGAGATCATTGCTGATGTTGAGCAAACTTGTACCCTTTGAAATCAAACACAGCACTCACGGAGTGCAGCAAGGATACCTGCAAACACACACACACGTGTGCGCAATGTCTCACTGTCTGCTGAAATGACATATTGAAGGGAGGGGCAGTTGAGGGTGGTGGTGGGGGGTTCGGGGATTGAAAGAGACAGTGGTAGAGTGTCGTGTCTTCTGCTTCTCATCATGCTGTCATGGTGACCACTCCAACCTCTTCTGTCACATGCACTCTGCTCACACTCCACCACCGTGACCCAACCGTGTCAAAACGATAAAAGACTTATGATACACTTATTCACACACCTGCCTATGAAGCTGTAATTGCTGTCTCTTTATTGAAATGAGGAGAATATGATGCAATACTGTTACGAACGCTTCGATTAGCTGTTTTCACTGTCCAATAACAAAAGAATCAACTGAGTGGGGCTAATTAGTTTTGATTCACTGATAGTATCTCTGAAAGAGAATAAAGAGTGTGTGTAGATACCTATGTATTACCCAGCAAACCCATCACCTTTTCTCAATGCAAAACTCACTCATTATCATCTCCCCACTATGCCGATGGAGGGGTGAGGGAAGTGACAAAACACTTGGAGTTTTAGGGGTAAACAGCGCTGCTGCCAAATCCAACCTAATTAAGGCTTAAAACATGATGTAAATGACACTGTTTCGAGTCAAATTTGAATATCGGGTCTTATGGACACTTGGACAACATCACAGTAGCATGTTTTTTTCTGTTGTTTTTTAAATTTTTTAAAAAGTTATCACTATTTTTTTTTCTTTTTTTCTTTTTTTATAAGTTATCACTAGTTACTTAAATTGTATTGGATTTGGCTGCAACGCTGTTAACCCCTGACACTCCGAAAGTGTTTTTTGGACTTAAACACTTCACCCACCCCTCCATCAGCTTAGTGGTGAGCAGATAATTTGTACATTTTCATTTTTCGGTGAACTATCCCTTTAAGTGAACACAGTTCTTCTGTATTGAATCTTTGTAAAGTTAATTTTCCCACAGTGATTCATCAGACCCAATTTCTTTCCCCAAGCTCGGGATTTAAGTCGCTTTTACCAAATTCTTCTGTGAACTGCACATAGATTTGAACTATACAGCCAATGTGAAAACACCTTGAGAGTAATTCTACTTTTTCCCAAGAACTCTATACATTCTATAAGAATATAGTCAACACCTGGGCCTGAACTATGTTCCAGCCATCAGCACTGTTGAGTTATTGTTGTTTTTCATGAACCTGGCATTACAACACTGCATCATTATCCTAACTCTGAAACTGTGACTTTATCTGTGATAAAATTAATTTGAGACACTGACATCCATAAATATTCACCACTTTGATGGTAATCAGTGCCTCATCAATGACACACGGAGGGATGACTGACCCGTCCACTGCTTGAAAACGCTGCTGTTTTTCAGGCCTGACGGTATCGGCACAGTTACCATAGAAGAGAAGGAGCGCTTTGAGGAGATCAAGGAGAGGCTACGTGTGCTTCTGGAAAACCAGATTACACATTTCAGGTAGGAACTATCAATGTATAATTGCAACCATTTGCAAAACCATACCAAACAAGACTGCCTAGGGTTCAAATTAAAATCCACTCTGTTGTCTCCACAGGTACTGCTTTCCATTTGGACGGCCAGAAGGGGCGCTTAAAGCCACTTTGTCCTTGCTTGAACGGGTAAGTAATTTTTATTCATGAACAGATGCATAACGCAATTTTTTAATGAAGCTATCCATTATTGTGTAAGTAGATTAACAAACAGATGTATCCTGTTTGCAGTATGTCTGTGTCTGCTCACAACTGTCTCTCTGATAACTCAGTCAATACAAGTGAAGCTAATAAATGTGTTGGCTTTAATCCATACTTATATTTATGACATGTCCCAACTTTCATCTCCAGCCAATTATGTCTTATGTTGATATTTTTCTTCATTTATCATGTCTTTTCATGATATGGCATGCTTTAAACTGATAATAAAATTGTGTGTTTTAGGTTCTGATGAAAGATATTGTTACTCCAGCTCCACAAGAAGAAGTCAAAGCTGTGATCCATAGGTGTCTGGAGCAGGCAGCCTTGGTCAATTACCAACGCCTCTCAGAGTATGCCAAACTGGAAGGTAGGTTTCTACACCATCACTGCTCTGCTGTGTTTGTACGACTGTACTAATGAACAGCATGGTTTTATATGACAACACCTGATGAGTCAAGTAGAGCTATAGTGAGATTCAGATGTTAAAATAAAAGGCACGTTTCAGAGTATCTCTGAATACAGTGGGGCACTTTGGTTTTATTATGTCACTATTAATGTAAAACTTATAGAACCTGTAGGATATTCACTCAAAAGGAGTAAACGGGTAAAGCGATAGTAAGATATACTACCACATAACATTGGTCATTGATTAAGTAACTTTTTTGATGATTACAGATGTGATATATATAATAATATATACATAATATATATATATGTGTTTGTGTGTGTGTGTGTGTGTGTGCATAACTTTTTTGAGGTGTTAGAAGAAGTAGAAAAAGTAATCAAGTTGAAATTGGAACATTTAGCTTCTCATTTCATCCTTTGGGTCTTGACTTTAGTAAATCAAACTTACATTTCGCCAGTTGCTGCAGAGTTCTAATAATGATTTTTTTTCTTCACAGCTGCAGAGAGAGTAGATCTTATCATCGTTTTTATTGCACATAATTGAATGATAGTTGATCGAAGTGATAAATGTTATGTACTTATGTACTATGTCTTATCTTCAGCTGATTTTGAAAAATGTACAGTAAGTAAAAATGCATTCAACTCAATATTTATGCAGACTTCGTCCACCATGCCTAGGCTTCTTTTTCAGCTAAGACCTATACTGCCTCTGTCTCCCTCTTTGGTCTGCCTAGTAGCTGAAGTGATGCTCCTTCTTTTTATTTTGTCTGCCTTTCTCTTCTTTGCTCTCTGATGACTTCCATCCTCACTCCTCTCTTTTTCCTGTCTATTGGCTTTTGCTGCTTCTCATTTGCTGCTGTTTGAAAACAGGAAAGCCAATAGACAAGACATGATGGGACGGCCCCTTGTGGCAGTTCAACTTTTTTTTCTGTTGCATGGTTCTTTAGTAGGCATCATAAACATTCTATCCCAAACAGAGTCAGAACACTTGTGTGGTCGCTTCTTCAGGCCAGCATTGTCATTAATGTATATTTATTCATAGTAGTTTTTGCTTACATACAGTTATTGTGATTCTGAAATTTCACTTTCACCTATCTTACTGTGTCTGTGATTCTAAACTTTTGTTGTATCAGACAGAGTTCAAAAGGTTGATCCCTGTGTGTGCAGTACAGAGATTGATCCTGATGTGTATAGCCTAGCTAAGAACAAAGTCGAGCTTAAAGTGAAAATATCAGTAAATGCATTAATGCATTCATATGAGATTGCTGTCTCTTATTATTCCCTGAAAGTCAACTTGTCAACTCGGATAGGCTTACTTTAACTGTCTTCAGTTTCACTTTTTGTTTTAACACTTGTTAATAAAAGCCAAGTAGTGTCTGATCTATAAATTAAGTCAGATCAAGGAGAGGTTATCTAACTAGTTAAGATACACCAAAGAGGAAACAAACAGCAAACAAGCACTTTTCCTAAAATGGACAATTCAGTGATGTCTGTAAATAAGATATCACCTCCCTGAAGACGCCAGGTAGATAAACATTAGTATCTGAATTGTGATGTTGATTAAACCACAAAACTATAAGCTATTTGACCTATGGGAAAAATATGATATTTCAGAATTTACTTCTGCTTGGCAGAGCAAATGGTTAATTTGAACTCATCAGTCCATACATTTTGAACCCCAAACACACATGCATGGATACATTCTGCCTTTACTATGGTATTTATTTGTCACAGTACAGGGGCGAGGCCATCTTACTTTCTCTATTGACTTGCACAATCTCAGATACCTGTCCCAACTCTTCTCAAACAGCTTGGAAACTGTAAACTCTAAGGGGAGACTGATATGGTGTTTGGCTGACTTGGCCTATCAATTAAAATGAATGACACTGACTGTCACCATCATCCAGTAAAGATACGTGAAGTATTTGATGCAGTTAAAAAGGTTGTAAAAGGTGCTTTATGTAAAATTGTGATTTATCAAACATTTGCCATAACAATAATCAATTTAAATATATTCTTCAGTTTCTACTTTTCCATTTTACAATGTACCAGAATAAATGCAGCTGAAGGGAAATTTTCTTTTGATTTAATTCAATTAAATTTCATTTGTATAGCGCCAAATCATAATATACATTATGTCAAGGCACTTTACATAGAAGGTCAGGACCTTAAAATCTTATTAATATAGAGAAACCTAACAGTTCCCACAATGAGCAGAACTTTGGAGACTGTGGAGAGAAAAACTCCCTCATTAACCGAGAGAAACCTCTAGAACCAGACTCAATGTGGGCGGTCATCTGCCTTGACCGGCTATAATCAAAATACAAAACTGTCTCCGTCAAAGGTGCCATGATGTGTCCCAGGCAATGGACTTGGGGCTCAAACCCTGATGGTTCCCATGCGTACTGTAGCATCTTAAGGTGCTTGGCCTCAGGCTCATTCATTTTGTCAGCCTTCTGCTATGGTTGGTACCCTAATTATAGGCATGCCCCAGTAGGTACTACCAAAAGATGTGTTGTGAAGTCTTCTTGCCTCCCGCCATGTGGTGCAATAGTTCTGTTTGGTTTTAGACAGCTTACAACTTATTGTGACAGTATGACACTGCTGCCTTTACTTGTTGTTGTTACGTGTTCAGAATCATATTGGACCGGGCAGGGTAACCCAGGACTGGTACGATGATTAGCTGCTTGAGAGTGAATACTGCCTGGCATTCCATTGTCCAAGAAACAGTCGTATTTTCTGGTCAGTGCATAGAGGGGGTAACTGAAGTGTCTTTGACGAACTGTTGACAGTATGATACCAGACTGACTTAGGGTAGACTATTAAAAACATGACTTTACCAGAGCATTTCTGATATGTGCAGTGTGCAACCATGTAGCTCAGGCTGATCTCCCACTATATGCCAGCTAAGACATATTCCATCAGCTTCTAGAATATTGCCAGAGCCTTGCACCGTTAACATGGCAGGAAATTCCATTGTAACAATTCATGTCTGGTACAGAAGACCTTCCCTTGATAAGCTCTGGCTGTCAGTTTGACCAACAACCAGAGGCAAGATCCAATGTGTGGACAATCAGGAAGGTGTCAAGTGTGTTTTGGATGTGTTGCAATGGGTACGTGTCTTAAATGTTGCCATCGTTTCAGTAGCCTGTGTAGAGAGGGTATGCTCCATCCCTCCAACATAGCATCACTGTGGGTGAAGCCCAGCTACTGTAATTGTATTGGCTGGCCAGCATCTCCTTGTTTCTCTGGTGCCTGCTTCACTGGGATGCCTGACTGAGTCATGATGTCATGCATGTGTGGTTGAGGTCACAAGCTCCAATTGAGAAAAAACTATCATAGGTGAAAGTTGGTTGTAGAGGTCTTGCTGGGAACAGTGGTGTGGTCTGACTGCTCCAACTTAGCTGTAGTAGTGACAGGCTACAGGACTTTTGCAGGCTGTATTCTCAGAGTTAGAGGTGCACAGAGTTATATCTTTTAAGGGCTGGGTTCTTATCGAGACGTATTTGACAAGCACTCTCTGCTTTTAACATATTGTTTTCATTTAGTTATAATACACTAAATATGGCTCAGAGTTAATCAAATTATGTTCTGTATTTCACTTTATTTCATGTTTCAGAATTCCACTATTATGATTAACAGGCTAATATTTCATTCATATTTCAAAATGGTACATATGGCACCTGTGAAATGTTTTTGATTTGAATTGAATACGCTAATATGTTCAAATGACAATTATAAAATTATAATTTACTTATTAGCAACACAAAAATTCCAAACATGGGCCTTGAAAACCTCCTATCAGTCTAACCCTAGTGACCTCTGTGCTCATCCACTCTGACCCTGGCCTCTCGCATGCCTCGGTATCCACCCTCTTTCTCTATAGGGAAAAAGAGAGAGATGTATGAGCACCCTGTCTTCTGCTTGGCGTCTCAAGTGATGGATTTAACCATTCGTGAGTACCTTCCTCATTCCCCAGCCTTACCCCCCCCCCACCACCACCACCTCTGCACTCTGATTTTTCTCTTAAAACCAGCACATCCAACCATAACAAGCAACCTTTCATTTCTGCCTTGCATTGGTGTGTTTGTAGGTTTGTACCTGTTGTTTAAGTCTAAAAGTCAAGCTGTTCTAGTTTCTTGATATATTTCAAACGCCAAACATGCTCTGATCTTTCTGTGAGTTTGTTGTATGTCTTGCCCAAAATACCTGTTCTTTATCTGTCTGTGACTTGAATGCATTTTTACTTTGCTTGTGTGTAAATACTCTGAAGTGTTTGAGGGCATGATACATTCAATCAGGGCACCCACATCCTTTATTTATTTAAAGGGCAATTTAGTCAGTTCTCTGTGGTTTGAGTGAAACTTCTTTATAAATTACATGTGTAAAGGTCCCACATTTTCATTGTGAACATGCCTCAGTTTTTGAATGAAAGCACCTGTTCATGTTGGTATTGATGTAGAATTTTAACAGATATTTATGCTTTTTCCCATATTGGATTTTAGGTCTAAGTGAAGATTCTTTGTGTTTTTCTTTTTGTTTGATCTTCTGATATTTTCTTCCTATACTGTAAAATGAGGAAGTACCCTGTGGTTTAGAGACTGCTGTTATATGCCAAATGGATTGATACTGAAGAGTCAATCTAACATTTATCTTTATTTCTGACACCTTTTTTCTATTTCCTCTACTTTTACTACTTGTACTGAATGATCTCTTCTCTTACACCCTCTACCCGACTCTCTTTTTCTCCTCTCTCTTTATCTTCTGTCCATCCCTGCAACCCATTCTTTTTTTCTTAAAATTGAACTCTTACTTAGTGGATAAATCTCAGAAAAAACTGAAGGATCCAGGTGACGTTGTGCTGTATGCCTAACCTCTGCTGTTCCTGACCAGAAAACATCCAGTCTACTTTAAATCATACCACCATAAACCCTGTCACAATCTTCCTGTTGCATTGGTCAGCAAAGGCAGAGAAACTCTACAGGACATGTGTCAGGAATGTTGTGACAGCATAAGTGCCCCCCTCCCCATGTGGTGTTTTTCATTACTCTGAATCTCAATGGAGATGGAACCTTTATTGACACTGAGTAGGTTTTGCAGGAATAGCAAACATTTGACTCAACTGCATATTGACAGTAATAAGCTTAAGTATTTTAACTTGGACAAAATATGAAAGAAGAGAAGGAATGAGTTGATGATTTATTTATTTATTTGATTCACCAGTGAAAACAGCTTCAGCAGATAAATTACTCGACAGAGGCAAAGTGCAAGCAACCAAGCATGGTTTTAAAATGTTTGCATGACTGGTATTTACAGCATTTTAATCTAAGACCCAGCCTTTTCTTGGAGAAGGGCACAAAACTAAGATACACTATATTGAGTATTTTTAAGAACTATTATTGCTCTTTAAATAATAGATTAATACATTTAAACAATCAAAATGAACATTTTTTCCCCATTTCTCTCTGCATGGCCAGGTTGATGTGGCTGCCCCAGTTTTCTTTTTTTCTTTAATGCTATTTCTGTGTCACTAAACGAAAACACATTGTAGTGCAGTGTTTAGCCATCACCATCAATACCACAGCTTTTGGTTAAAAGATATGTTCACAATTTTCAAGTCTGTCTTAAAACATAGGATAAACAATAATACAATATATTTGTATAAAAGCAATAAAGACTAAAGTAGAAGATATAACTTTGCAATCCCCCTTTGAACCAGTATAAAGTTCCATTCTGTAAAAGCTCTCAGCCATGCTAGCTTGATTTAAGCTTAACCAGACAATCTCCCATCATCCTGCTGAGCTGTCCACATCCTCAATGGGCGGTAAGAGCTCTGCTAGTAGGTGAAGTAGCTCAACACAGTCATGACTGACAAGGCCGATTCAAGTGGATGTGTTCTTACTCAACATAATGAGCATGACATCCACACACAAACACAATAGTTATACTGTTGGACAAGAGAGAACAAAACACAGACAAGTAGATAAAAAAAACAGCATGATGTTTGGAAAATGAGCCTCTTAAATCTCTTAAGATCTTCTTAAAAGCAGCATGTCTCACAGAGGAGGTTCGACCAAGAATAGCTTGGAATAACTTCTAAAGTTTAAGCAGGAGTTGGAAAGCTTTTTCTTGTCAAGGAGCATTTCAGTTTTGATAGTGTCCTTGGAGGGTCATACTAAATGTTTAGTATTGATATCAATATCTAGCACACAAACCTCTCTAATGCAATGGCTTGAACTGATTCTCTTTAGCGAGGTCGGAAGTCTGATGGCCATGATGATGGTGATTATGATGATCGCCACTTTTTGAGGTTGGTCAGGCTTCTCCTTATCATTTATTTTCGATTGCTTGACATTGTGCATTGGGCAACAGTCAATGCTGAGTCCCACAAAATGGGAACTGTAAGTTAAGTAAGTTAAAATAACTTTGTCATGTTTAGGAAAAGATCATATGGATTAGTGCCTTGTTGAGGTTAGAGGTCCTCAGTCACCACAATTACACCAATAAAAGTAACTACGTTTGTGGAACCAATGTTTGTATAAGAAACGACATTTACCATAAGTGCCACACAGGACGTTTTGTCTGTCTCCTCAATCTCTTCCTCTTACTATGTATAATACATCAAATGGCCACCTAATCTTCCTTTGTCTAAGTCCCTATGGCCACTAGATGTTACCTAACAAAATATTGTCTGGTGGAATCTTCCTGGTTAATGAGTGTAATACTTTACATAATGAGATTTTCTACAGATTGCAGCACATTCATAACACATCAGTGCTGCAGACAGAAACAAAACAATGCAACGTTGCATCTGGAATTATGTAAAAAATATTCAAACACCAAAACAATTCAGTTGAGTTCTCCTGTGTGTAAAATGCTTTGTAGCTTTGAGTACAATGGTTTTCATGGCCATTCAAATGTTCCAATCTCAGTGAGTTGAGTTGAGTGATTTTTCCCTTTAGACCCTCACCATTTAAGGCTTCATTGCAAAGGTTCCTGCTGCTCTATTGCGAGTGATAACGCAGAATTTGGTGTCTGATACATGAAGACAATGGATGAAATGGAAGCACTCTGCTTTGTATCATGGTATTTCTAATGCAGAATCCATTAACTTCTATATCAGATAGCTTTGAGGTGCATTATCATGCGTATATCATGGCCAAAAATAAAGCTGGGCTAATTTAAATGTACCCATGTTTAGTCACTGCCAGCAGGCATCTGTCAAGTGATCAGAGTCGAGTGCACTCGCCGTGGTATAATTTGGGTTCTCTCTTGGAACAGGCATGTTGTGGAAGTCAAAATTACATGAAATGCTCTTTACATTTACTCATAATACAAACACAATGAGATGCAGCCTCACAACCTAAAAGGTCAGATTCTGTGGAAATCAGCACAACATACCCACCACATCATTGCATGATGAGTGTTCAATGTACATGCTGTTTTCATCCCTCATCATAGCCACGTTCTCTGGATGACATCATTGCTGTTGACACGTGATTCATTGGCTACATACGCTACACAGCGAATCACTATTTCCTGCCACCCAACCTTGGCACTCATGGGAATAGTGTTTACATCAAAAATGTAATGGAGCTGGTATCATGGTATAACTAGGGCTGGGTAGAACAAGCAATGTATTAAATGTAGCAGGTAAATGTGGCTTTAAGAAAATATAGCAGGCAGTTAACAAAATGATTTATTTTAACACAACTCAGTTTTTAGACTACAATGCATCCATCTCTGATACCCAGCCCTAATTATAATACGTTGATATTTAATTATTTTAATTTTAATATGACCATGAGATTGTCCCAGTGATTTAGGAACAGGCTATAGACTGGACTAAGGATCACTTATGAGGCAGCAACTATATCCAAAAGTTGTGAGTGGCTTAATCCTTTAGCTCCTGTGTTTGGGAGTAAGCAGGATAGCATGCATGTCGTTGACTTGTGTAGCCTTATAAATACTGCATTAAAAAACTAAAGAAATGGGGTTTTTTTAAATTGTAAAAAAAAATCTGTTTATATGTACTTTCGTTTGCATGCATAAAGTGTCAGTTTAAGAAAGAAGAGTCACTGATCGAATGTGGAGGCTACCAATGCTAACCTTTGACCTTTATGCTCCAGAGAATGTAGGGCGTTTAGTCACTCCTGCCAAAAAGCTGGAGGACACCATCCGCCTGGCCGAGCTGGTGATTGAGGTCCTTCAGCAAAATGAGGAACACCATGCTGAGGTACGTGTGCCTGCATATGTGTATGCATCTGCTCTCTCTTTCTCTCTCTCTCTCTCTCTCTCTCTCTCACACACACACACACACACACACTCACAGGCCTGTAGTTTCAGGGCAGTATGGGCTGGTAATGATAAAAAGTGGGGCTATTGAAAGCAGCTGGGGTCATCCCTCCACAAGCTGTCTCATCTATTGATATGTCACTGAGATCCGTCAGCTTTGACATGAGCAAACCATATTGAGAAAAATCTTCATTCCATCCTACATTAAAAAAAATGGGTCTAACACCATCATATAGTGTTTCTCAGGTGACTTGAGGCTAAGGATCCTGTATTGGGTTTTGGATTATGGGTGCCGCTACATCAAACCAGACATAAGTAAAAACATTAAATACAATAAATACATTAAATAAAGGCATAACATTTGCCTGAGATTAAACAAGTAAGCAGTTTAGTTACAGAACATTCACACTGTTAAGACATTTTTAAGACTTAATTCAGCAATGTAATGTCCACAGTCATACAATTAACGACTAGTGTATATTTTTTGTTTTCAGCAAAACAGAAGGGTGTGTTAGATTATTGAGCAGTATTGCATAAACATATTTGGAGGTATAAGAAAACACTGCAAATACCTAGTCATTAAAAATAAAGCAGTGAGACATCAAAAAATGCATTCAATGGTGAATGCTCTGTATTTATGAAATCTAGATGACCCCTCAAAGCACATTACAGTACAGTTTTTGCCATTCACCTATTCACACACACATTCATACAGTTCATCGATGTGCAGCATTTTCTTTATGAGCAAGGGAAAGGACATTTGGGCATGCGGATTGAGGAAGACTGGGTTTGCATCGCTGACTTCTGGTTAGAGGACCACAGCTCCGCCCCTAATGAGTGACATATTGTGTGGATTCTTTTCTCCACTTTATGTTGTCAGTTTAGCACCTGTTTGTGTCTCATAGACACATTTCATTGGTCCATAGTGAGTTGAATGAGTTTTTTTGGTATGAAGTCAGTATGATTTTAGTAACAGTCTGTGGAACCTGTCCAGACACACCTACAATGACCTGAAAGAGATGTCGTCCTGCTGACAGTGTACTCTGATTTGAATCCAAATGAAACCACTGCTAGAAGCCAAATTGCAAGTCTCATGGGAGCTTATGGTTTTCTCAAATTAAAAAAGAGAAAAACAATCTAGTTCTATACTTTGCGCTACAATGTTAGCCTAATGCTACACATTTTTGTTTTGTTTGGTAGAATACCAGATTAAGTGAAGAGTACACTGTCAGAAGGGAGAATTTAACTACATCAGATCCATCAGTCACAGAGTTCAGGTAATATTTGGGACATTGACTTCAGCAACCTCATTCGTTTTCATAGAATATAATTACCTTTGTCTCAGTTCAGTTTTTAAAATGATTAAAATACTTACAGTGGATCTCAGGATTACTTTCAGAAGATGAATTCAACGAGCTGCAAACATGAAGAAAGCGTTTAAACATCTTTGTGTGATTTTGCTGTGAATGCTGTGTAATGTACATACATTATTGTAAATCACATTTTTGTCACTTTGCTATTTAAACAAAACAAAATTGACTCCCTGTCTGCTTTTATTTCACTGACTTATTTGGTTTGCGGGGAAATGTTTGAACAGGGAAAAGAGGTATGTGAATGTTTCAGTGCCATGTGCCCCGTCTCCTACCCTTCCCTTACTGTAAGTCCTGTGCATGCACTTTATAACATGGCTATTGTTGCAAAGGATCAGTAATGTTTCCCTTCTCAACAATGACCTAAAACCCCTTTCAGCTTGTGATCACTGCTAATGAAGTGCTTGTGGCAGTGCTTGTTAGCTTCTAAGCTAGCAACAGTTTTGCCTTTGCTGATGAGGAACACACAAGCACTTAGGCAATGTGTTTGTTGGACCCATTAACTTATGCTCTAAGAAAACAAAGTCCAGAGTTCAGACTTTTGCTTCTAATTGGCTCAAACAGTACAACTCTGTACCCTGTACAACTCTGTACGTTGCTTTCTATGAGTCTACCCCAAATCATCCCTAAATATGCTAATCTGATTCCTGTGTTTAGTCATATGTCATTTATTGCAGTCCAGTAAAAAAACTCTGGGAGGATGTTATGTCACCTTTCCTCCCTTTAAAGAAACACATTCCTTTCCATCTCCATTGGATCCTTCTGCAGCCGCGATGGAGAGAATGTGAGGCATGCTCGGAGTTCACATTATCACACCCCATGTAATTCAGTGAATCATGCTATGCTGCGGGAAAGAAAAAAAAAAAAGCTGACGTGAGCACATCTGTAAACTAGCCTTAGTCCAACTCTGGCAAATATTGGTCTTGATTCCAGTGTTTTTATTTATTGTCAGTTCATAATGTAGACACATTCAGACCTAAAGGTTATCCCGATTCAAGGCAGTTTCTATTGATTTTTACTTATTTGGCTCTAATTCTGGTAATTCTGGTCCCATTTCGTGCCTCTCATGTAATCACCAATTTTCACCTGGATTCTTTCACATTGTTTACTTCACATGTGGGAATGGCCCACAATTAAAACACACCTCCTTGTGGTAGTGAATAAAACCAAATAATTTTATTAGGGGCATCCTCATGAAGAATATGTGGCTAAAAGTGTCCATGCTTCCATAGTCTTGACCCATTGTACAATATTTGAGTCTTTCTGGTAATCCAAGCTAACTACCAACACTCATAAGTAGCATGAAAATAAAAGTTTCGATGTTGAATAAAATATTTTCTATTGGTAGCTTTTACATAAACAGTATGAAAGACACAAAGGGTCAGACTTCCCTGTTATAAAAAAAACATCAAGCGTGTAGTTTAAATCCCAAAGTCTCTGCTGCTTCTATCAGTGATGGTGAAGCAAAAGTTTCCGAGTTGTTTTGTTCCATTATTAATGTTTATAATTATAACTGAGCATGAGTGAATTTGTTCTTAATGATCTTATAACAACAAAAAAGACATTAGTTGGACATCTGTTTGCTTTAGTGGCCATTAAAGACATAAGACAACAACATGATCCCAAGTTTGTGTCTGACTTAATGTTAAGCCAATATGCTACATCTTCTTGTTAGCCAATGGTGACGCGACCTAGAAAAGAGTTCAAATTCTAAATCTGTTCTAAATCAGTTTGTATTGACAGTACGGGGGTGAATGATGTGTCAAATGTTTTTAAAATACCTGTTAAGGTTTATTATTCATCCTGACACCATTTTAAAGTTTGACTAATTTATGATTTATTTCTGTGACTGGAGTATCAACACTAGTGCAACAGCCTGGCAGTTATAAATGATGATTACATGAGGGCCACTGGCTGGATGCACCTTCTCGCCAAACTACCCAACACCAAGAGCAGAACTCTCATAGCAAGTGCATGACCCCCCCACCCCCTCCACACCTACCACCACGTAAGCCCATGGGTACATTCACATTACAGCGTTGACAGCTTGATGTGAATGAGCAAACACCATGGATCCTCAGGGGTCCCTCTTAAGAGGCCTGGCAAGAGTGGGGGTGCATGGAGAGAAGCGAGTGTTTCTGATGTGCATGAGAGTAGACCGGTCCCTGCACAGTCACTTCACTGTGTCTGTTTGATGGGGAGTTTTGAGCGCGGCACAGCTCGCTGGCTCCTTTTTCTGATTGACTCACTGAAGGAGCAGCGGGTGAGTGTTTAAGTAGCTCCCTGCCACGTCTGCTGAGGAGCTGCTGCTGTTTCCTCTGTGGGCCAACAGAAAAGTGTGTGATTCTTCCGTGCCCAAGCGCTGTTTGAGTTGTGAAGAATCCTACCCTGGAGACCGTTCAGTGAAGTCATTGAGGCAACTTCTGGATCTCATATGGTGAAATGTGAGAGAAAGCCATGAACCTTTGCAATGGATCAGTGGGGTTAACATCTTCTGTGTTTATGCTAAATGAGATTTAAACTGTGAACTGTAAATTCCTTCCCATTGGGGAGCACTTATATGTCCTCTTCGTCTAATTGATCTCATTTCTTTCCCTCTCAATCTCTTGATTTTCCTCCACTCCCTGTATTTTGGCACCTTTTTCTCTGTCTTTACCTTTCTCTGAGTGAAGGCCTTTGCCTGGTGGTCAGATCTGATGGTGGAGCATGCTGAGACCTTCTTGTGTCTCTACTCCGCTGACATGGACGCAGCTCTTGAAGTCCAGCCACCGGACAGCTGGGACAGTTTCCCTCTCTTCCAACTGCTTAACGACTTCCTGAGGATGGACTGTGAGTGATGAGCTATTGACACAAAACATACAAGTCAGTGAGGGGACTGAAGTATAGCTGCAGTTGATTTTAATCAGTGAGGAAGGACCATGGAGGTCGATAGGCCTGACTCAGGGTTTTAGATGCATGCATAATTGTAAAAATGTTGGCGCAACGTTGACAACCATTTCATATTGTTTACAAAGAATCTGCATTTGTATACATCCTGTGGTATCATTCTGTGGATTCGGCTGTACCTGCTCTCATTCTAGAACAGTTATGCATTAATTCCAGACATTATAACAATGTCCAAAAATGTAGTTGTTCATCACAGAAGTTATGGAAGATTCCCTTAAACCCAATCATCCTTAGCAGAAGAGTCAGAGCATGTCTAACCTACATAGCTAAATCAAATCCTACATAATGGTAAACATGAGGGACTTGTGTCCACACCATGCATTTTTTGGCATTACAAAAGATGACATGCCAACTCAGATTTTCCTTCCAATATCTTTCAGCTATGTGTTTTCTGTCATAGCTGAGTCTTGTTTGGCAATATATCATCCGCTGCATGAACAAACAGGGTTTATTTCACCTCCATCTCATTTTTCTTTAGCAGCTCATTATTACACATTTTCTGCTGAGCACTTTTCTCTTCCATCTATTCAACTTTTAATGTCTAAATATCATTATTTTCATTGATTCATCCAACTCACTTTGCTATTTTTGAAAAGTGGTACATTCCTAAAAGACTGTCCTATGAATGATTAGCAGTAGCTTTGTTTCTGTGATGTCTCCTGCTTTTGCACTGCTACTAGACAGGATGTGAAGCATGAACAGCGTGTTAGCGGAGCATCAGCAGCAGCTCTGTAAGGACAGGATGCACAGTACTGGCTGTACATGTTTTAGCAGTGCTCAGAATCCAACATACAATCACTGTGGTTAGTGTAGTGTAAAGATACTCATATTCATGAGCACACAGCGCAACGTATTTCACAAGCTGAAATACAGCCTGTGTTGGACTCATTGAAATAGAAACATTTCTATTCTGACAGACAGACGGGTGACACATGGGCCTTAAAATACTTTACAGTTTTTCAGTTTAACTCTTCATCAGGGTTTATGAACTTTGTATCACTCAGCTCTATTTTATAATCAGCAACCAGAACCAACAATTCTAATGAAGGTGTACAACTGCTGTTGATTGCATACTCCAAATGTCCCTCAAATGTCTCTGAAAACATTCCTGTCTATACGAGACATCTACTTTCGGCCTGGAGCGGTGTGTGTGTGTGTGTGTGTGTGTGTGTGTGTGTGTGTGTGCACGTACTAGACAAAGACACAGAGTGGCAGAGAAACAATGTGCATATGTCCCCATCAGCACTGAGCCTGAACCACAGCTTCCCTACTAACCACAGCCTCATACACACATGAAAACATCCGCACACTTGTGCATTTCATTGCTTCTCGGTAAGTAGATTNGTGTGTGTGTGTGTGTGTGCATGTGTGTGCGAGAGCAGAGACAAGAGTGTCTAACTGAAGATAATAGTCAGGTCTTGATGCTGCTGGTTGCTGCAGGCCAGTCATCTCTCTAATGAACTGCTCACACTTGCCTGCAGGAACACTGTGGAGCTGTCCGTGGTGCTGTAAAGGATACACTGTTACAATGTGGACTCAATCTGCAGGGTGCTAATTGTCCCTGGGGAATGCTTCCCCTTTTCAGTTTGTCAGGCAGGAGTCAAGGAGAAGGCAGAGCGCCGGCCATTCATTCAGCTCAGCACAGATGACTGCAAAGAGCTTGTTATGCTCACTTGTTAGCGTCTTCAAATTGGCCATTTCTTTGCTACGTATTGTCTGTTGTGTGAAAATGGCTACTGAAGTGCATAGCAATGGACATAGTTACAGCAGCTAGCAATAACACAGTGGTGATTAAAAACAGGCACCGAGTGACTATGTGTATTTTATTGTGTGTTATAATCTGTGCTACAAAAAGCTGTAATGCAAGACACCAGCAAAAGCAGTATATAAATGAGCTGCACACACTGTGGAGCAACTTTTGGTGGTCAGCATCATTTTGATCTTTCTCTGAAACCATTCCTTTTCATTAAATCCTGTATTGATATGGAAAGATAAAGCTTTGTGCTGTTTTAAATTTCTATTGTTAAAAAAATCCATTGCAAAGTTAAAACCAACAGAACATTTATTGTCTCTCACAGCGTGGTCACTGAAGTTTCTTATATCATCACTCAGGAGGCAATGGTCAGTTCGATCTTGACTTTTTCTCAGTGTTGGATTAATGCACATCTGGTGTTCTTGATGTATAGGACAGAGCACGTGAATGTGATAGATAGACGCACTCTGAACTGATGTTGACTTCCTGGGTTTTGGTTTGATTGTTAAAAAAATCCTATATTTTGAAGACAATTTGAAATCATCTTACACTTTTATACCAGTTTTAAATAAAATGAGGCTGTGACAAAACAAACCAACACAATTTGTGAAAATTTTGATTGAGAATGACAAACATTTTTGTGTCTTTCTTATTTGGCAAGATTCAGACTCCTCCACAGTTACACCAAATTTTGTATATACACTGTTTGGGGTATTTGTATGGTGTTAAATGTGTTTCTGAGCAAGCAATTTGAGATTTGGAACACAGAATATATTTTACCATCAAACTACTACTATATCAAAAGAACATATTTGTTTGAGCAAATAAAAGTCTATTCCGTGCTCAGTTAATGTATTTGAGTGTTTACCATCATCCATATTAGTGTCTACATATACAGCTCTCATTCACTTTTACTCTATACTTACACAATCTCTTGCCTTGTGTCAGAACGCTGCACACTCGCTCATATTTTCTCTCTCTCTCATTCTCTCCATTGTGCCAATCAAATACGGTTAATTCAGATTTGCTCTTTAGTGTCGGAATAGATTTTTGCACAAAGTAAATAATGTATCATAATTTCTCACACATATATGATACTTAAACTTTGGAGACAAATCAAACCAGCAGAGATTGTGACCTCCTGACTGTGATGCCGTAGTAGAGGTCAAGCTCAAAATGCTTATTTCTTCACCTTTATCTTTCTCCACCTTTCAGTTCACATAACATGTCGTCAGGGTCCCACAGTGGTACAAGTCATGATTATTAACCTGACCCTTATTTGTGAAATCAGTGGAGACAATGGAGACAATAAATCCAGTGTACCATCCTTCCTCTTCTGATTGACCGTCATCAAACAAAGCCTCAGCCCACTGCTAATGTGTAGCAGTATCACCAGAGGTTCATTACTAAACAAACCATCATCATTACCAAGTGAAGACCCAACAGAGACCCCCATCGCCCAAACAGCGTAGCAAGTGCACACTTTAGCAAGGCAAAGCACAACATCATGGGAACATCTTTTCCACAGAAGGTCATCTGCGCTGTTGCCCCACAGCGGTGCACTTATGTAGCAGTAAATAGCCTTGGCACTAGACAGGCGCCAAAGTCGGGCTGCCATTCGAGGAGTTAATGATGTCTAAAGCAGTGGTAGCTGGGCCAGAGCGAGCCCTGGGAACACACTCCTGGACACAACACATCCAAGTGGACAGCAGCCGCTCAAGTGGCTAATTGGGAGAGTGGCAATCAGGGAGCACAACAAACATTGCACCTAGTGTGTATCAGTGACCTTGACTCGAATGCCAGCACCACACAAACACAAACACACACATGCTCAGAGGGGGAGAGAAAAACAAAGAGGGAGAGGGAGAGGAAAAACAGACACACTGCATGGAGCCGTGAGGCATCACATTAGCACACACTGGCCTCCATTTTATCTCCTGTGGTCTTTGTCAGTGTTGCCTTTTTACCAGTTGGGAGCCGGCGGAGACTGGGGGAAATGTGTGTGACGAGTTGAATTTAGAAACACCCTGAGACGCCGACCTTTTGTCTGGAGAGATTGAAAAGAGAATACACTGTGTCATTCCTGCTAATGAAGAGCTAGTCAGCCACAAACACCAACTCTTGTTTATTATCACCATCCAGGACAGAGCTTCTCGGTTAATCATCTCATGGCTTTTCAGATTTATCTCATAATACGAGAAGCACATACACATTTGAAAGTATGAAAAAAAGTATAAAAAATCCCCTTTGGATTGTTGATGTTAAAATCTTGAGTGAAATGTGACGTATCACGCTGAATACATTTTAAGTGTCTATTCATGTTGTGAACATCTGACTGAACTGTCTCTCTGTGTAGACAGGCCTTTACCTCCTGTGGTTTTGTCGGCATCAACATGTGTACACAGTAATGCATACCAAAAAATACATCTCTCACTAGATGATTTGGAAACAGATCAGTTTATTGAATGTACATTTTAACCATGTGGGCTCGAATCACAAACCCAATCCCACACTCGCTCACCTGGCACTGTCTGTGGTCAAGTGTGCTTCTTTGTTCCCTCTCTTAGATAACATGTGCAACGGGAAGTTTCACAAACACCTGCAGGACCTGTACGCCCCCCTGGTGGTACGATACGTGGACCTGATGGAGTCCTCCATCGCTCAGTCCATTCACAGAGGCTTTGAAAGAGAATCCTGGGAACCTGTCAAGTAAGGATGCTTTTAATTCACTTTACCTCAGCTACTGTAGCTTCCTAGAGTAGTTTCACTCTGCATATCTTTGTACGGATATAGCATGGATTCTGATTCTTCTGATTCTTGATTAGTTCATTCTTAATTACTACTACACCTTCAGTCAGCCGGTTAAGACCCTCTTCTGGGCACCACAGGGAAAGTTAGACATTGTTAAGTATGAAGTGAGAAAAGCAATTACAAGGCTTATCAGAAACCGAGGTCGACCAGCCTGTCGATGAACGAGTGGGAACAGAGGTCAACTGGTCTGCTGATTGGACACAAGACACACAGTGTCAGCTGGGCCGGTGACTAGGGAACCCCAGTGCAGAAGCAGAGGAGGAGTCAGCCAACACCTGCTGCAAAATTCTCTGAAGGATCTGCACAAAAAGTGAAGGTCAAAATAAAAAAGGAAATGACACAACACAAGGATTCCAATAAAGTGACTGAACTGAGACCCAAAGAAGGGCAACAGTTAAACACTGAATACACTGACATAGAAAAGTCCAAACACCAAGTTCAGGACAAATTAAAATTCCAAAAAAAAACTCGAATATACATAAAAACATACTCTCTTCATGATTCACGTCTTTATTTTCTCCGTAGGAGGTGAATATGTGAACACAAATGTCCTAGAGGCTCTGGAATATCAGATGACTTTCTCAGACATGCCTCCGAGTGTAAAGTTTGTAGAAATTCAGGAGAATTCATTGTGTGAACACAGCAGGGGATCCCCCACTGGATTCACCCCAAAAATGAAAAAAACAAAAAACAAAACAAACATCTATCAGAGAAAAAGTTGGCGTCACACCTGTAGAAGACACAGACGAAGATGTTAAAAGAGTCTGTGGTGATAAAACCTGCACACTTGATGTGCTCTCCACTGTGGAGAGATCTGCTGCACCCGGCTGCTCTGCGTCTCTCTTGAATAATGTGGAGGATTTGTTGCTGTTGTGAAAACACAGTGCAGAAAACCTCCAACTGTGCTGTGAGTGTGTGAAAGCCAAACTCTCCCCTGGAAAATGGCTTCGGATTCTTCAAACCTTGTGGTAACACTCAACCTGAGGACCATGACCCGACAAAATAAGATTACTGACGCTTTCAAAGCAGGGAAGGCTAAAGAGAGGCTTCAAGACAAGATGTAGAAGGCCAAGAAAAGCATGGAAGAGTTCACTGAACAAAACCTTACTTGTGACCTTAACATTAAAGCCTTGATATCTGGATAAACAAGAAAATTCCAGAAACAGGTTCTGTGGACAGATGAAGTTCAAATTCAGCTATTTGACCACAGTCACCAGAGATGCTTGGTTTGGAGAAAAAAAGAAGCATTTTAAACTTGGAGATATTATTCTGTGGGGTAGTGTGGCAGCCTGTGGCACAGAAAACATGTGGAGGAGTGGATTCCACAAAAATTCTGGATGCAAATGTCAAGAAATCGAAAATAAAACGAGGCTGGTTGCTGCAGTAGGAAATGATCCAAAGCTGAAACTCAAAATCAACCATGGACAGAAAACACTGAAGCTCCTGCTTTCACAGTCTGACTGGAAGATCACTCTTTATCTGTGAGAAGATCTTAAAGCAGCTGTGTGTGAAAGACAGCCTAGGGTATCTCAGACCCTGAAGTGGTCTGCAGGAAGATTTGCCGAAAGTTTTTTTAAGCATAATCACAGGGGTTGTACTGTTAGCTGGAAAATATTTGTATTTGTAAAAGAGAGAGTGAAAAACAAATGAAATCAGTGATGAGATGCTTTTGTAAACATCTATATAAATATACGAAGCAGAATGTAAAGAATGTAAAACTCACTTTGTGTGACTGATTGGACACCGACGCTACAATCGCACAATGACAGACACCTGCATCTTCCGAGACCCATGTGTGTTTAATGATATCTGATGATGCTGTAGACAGTGTTAGACATTGAATATGCTGGTTATGTATCAAATTCACCTGGGTTCTTGAAGAATCTGTGTTTTCATCCAACAGTAAGATGCAAAGCAGACACATGCCGGTGGCCGTATCTATAACTCTCTCTCTGTCTGTGTGTTTTTCTTCATTGTATTTTTATTCTGCCTCTACCACTTCATGTACCATATGTTCATATCCCCAGAGTTACTATGCTCATTTCAACAACGCTGTTCCACACTGTTTAATAAAACATTTTTTTTTTGTAGTTTCCTCATTATCAAAGATACTGAAGTTTTGTATCATACCTAGTTATAACCATGAATACAGAAGGTCCTTGTGAATGTTGAAAAAGTGTGAAAAAGTTGGATTTGGAGATGCTGCCAAATCTTTGATAAATGTCTGACTTAAAGGTCCAATGTGTAAGATTTAGGTGAAAGGGATCTATTGGCAGACATTTAATGTAGAATAATCCTCATGATGTTTTCACTAGTTCATTTCATCTAAATTGTATGAATCGTAGTTTTCTTTACCCCAGAAAAGGTCCTTTATATTTAAATACTTTATATTTACATGGAGGGGGTCCTCTCTACGGAGGCCGCCATGTTTTTTACATTAGTTCAGACTGGACAAACTAAACACCTTTTGAGTTTTTATGACAACTGAAGCTACCACAGTTTCTTTTTCTTGTTTGAAAGGAGAGGGTGAGGTGAGGGGTGTTCAGCTGCAACATACAATTTCAACACTAGATATCACTAAATTCTACACATTGTACCTTTAAATGTACTGTAAAATGCCTGCTCATTTGCATCTGCTTTGACACAAAATCTCTGTTTCCTGTTTTTTTTTATTCTGTTTCTCTTCACAGAAGCATAACAAGCACTCTGCCCAATGTCAACCTCCAAATGCCCAAAGTACCAAATCTAACAGTGCCAAGTGTTAACCTCCAACAATTGCCCAGCTTTTCTCCACCTAACTGGATGACAGCTAATCACGACTCAGAGTGTGTATCTGCTTTGTCCAGCCTTAGACATGCACACATGTCCTTGGCATGAATGTGGCATCTAAATCATATGACCCCAAGTAGAACTACCTGTTTAAACTTATACATCCAAAAGATTTGTCTTTTATTGAGAAAACAAAACAATTCCAAAACCGTACAATACTATTGGAGTATGCAGTAAATATGAGCTAGGGACTCAATCACAAATAATGATGTACATCACAGCCTTGTACAATGTTTCATGCATATTTGTGCATCTGTTTATGTAAGTTAGCATGATGTTTGTACACTAAATCACTTATATTATTTTTTTTAAACATTAAAAATTAAAAATTGTTAATGTTTTTTTTCAATTTTATTTTCATTTAAACTTCATTTTGCATTTATAATCAGGCTGTAGAAACTGTTGCAGCTTCACTCAGATTAATCTGAGCTACTTTGTAATAATATAAATTCCAGTAAGAGAATAAACTGAAAGTGAGTGCTATCATTAAAAACACTCTGCATATCTTAATATACACTTGACACATAATATATAGCACTTTCAAAAGTTAAGCGAAACGTTGTCTGCACCAACAACAGGGATCAAAGGTGTTAAAGCTCCTTCATACGCTGCAGCATCCCACAGAGTGTGACGCTGTCACCGCAGCACATCCATCTCTAATTCCCTCATCTGGGAGCTTGTGCATGCACATTCAAAAATACCTGTCCCGAAGTTCTCATTGTACAAAAGAAGATGAGAGCTTCAGCCTTGACTTTAAATTTAATTAGTAATAAAAGAGGCCACCTGAGGTGGATGGCATTTTTCTGTTCCAAAACGAGACTTGTTAGAAGGCCAGAAAGGACTCCTGCAGGCAGGTGAAGGACGACATCAGTTACTTTTAGAGAACATACATAGATGTGGTGATCTGTTGCCATGTTCATGCCAACGTCACAGCATGGTGTGTGTGGATGGATGGAGGTGGCAGTATCCTTTCACTCCTATATGCTATTTGTATTTATATTAGACACCCTGGCCCTGGCTTCTGTCCCCTGCAGCAGCTCCAGTCCTACTGTTCCCCCTACCCCCAGCAGTTTTCCTGTGTAAACTCCCTATCCCAAAAGAAAGGAACAAAAAGAGGTTTCACACATTCATGGAAATCGAATCTTTTAATGTTGTAAAAAGTTGCGAAATTCCACAAAAACTGAAAATGTGGCAGAAATTAAGAAATTGGACTTTCACTTCCATATTGAACCATTTCACAGCACATCAGAGTTTCTTTCTTTTCTTGCCTCAATATCTCAAAAACAAGAGGGAACCCTGAATTTGTTAAGAATAACTTATCATCTGTCTTTGTTCCTCTTGTTTCCGTTCCTGAGTACTTTACTTTCTTTCCTGTCTGTTCTCTCCTGGTGCAGCACTCACACACGCACATGCACGCACACACACACACACACACACACACACACACACACACACACACACACACACTGCACAAAGATGTGTATCTTGCACACAAACATTCATGCACTCTTACCCACCAATATTGCTTGGAGTGTAAATGACAGGATGGAATGTTCATACATTTTCACCTTTACTCACTTGGTGTAGTGTTGATAACAGCATGGATCCTGCTTCCCCCAAGACTGTTGAGGTGCATAGAGTATCACACTGTGCATGGTGGTTTATGGGCAAAGGTCCATATGAGCTGCTGAAACTAATTCATTCATGACTACTATGGGTCCTGGGGCCACCAAGGAGCCAGTTAACCAGCAAATCACAGACAAGGAATTTCCCTCTCATTTGATCTGTGTAAGCACAAGAATTCAAAGACATTTTGAACGCAACAGGGAAACCACAGACACATTTAGTCTATAATGTAGTATTTATTGAAAAATACTTCTTGTGTTACCTATATATCCCCCTATACCTGTTTCATATTATATTCAAATAGGTAAATTTGATAAGATAAGACTATACTTCAAATGTGCAAATGTCTGAGCCAAGTCTGCCAGAACAACTTGGCAATCTGACACGTGCATGAACCCAAAGAGCTCATTCACAACACCACTGTTTTCCCCTTTTCAAAGTTGTTGCCCTCCTTGTGCTGTCCTGCAGTAATGGTTCAGGGACATCAGAGGATCTCTTCTGGAAGCTGGATGCTCTGCAGACCTTCATCAGAGATCTCCACTGGCCAGAGGAGGAGTTTGGCAAACACCTGGAGACCCGACTGAAGCTGATGTCCAGTGACATGATTGAGTCTTGTATTAAACGGTAAGACACTGTTTAAATGTGACTGCAAGCCAACAGCACTGAGTTGTGTTTTATTCATAACAGGACTTTGTGTAAAGTGGGTTTTCAAAACATCAACTAGTATACTACTTATACTATGTCAGGATGAATCCGGCACATTTGGTATTTGTACGGGCAAATTAATGAACACCAGTAGATAAATATGAAGTAATCCAAGGGGGTTGTGAAATAAGCTGTGAAAGAAAAATTGTGTATTTTACTTCATCACATTAAAGCCAGATGACCCTGAGCTTTTTGTGAGCAGACAGACCAGTGAATGGACTGGCCTCTCTTAAATGAATGACACAATTGTTTTGTTTTTTTCTGATCACAGCTGTTATTACAAGACTTCTTGGTATACAATATCAACGCCTACTTACATATTCTACCATTATTGACAATTACTCCTCCATTTTAATTGTCATTTGCTGCTCCCTTCATCTCTATCAGACATTTTATCATGTATAAATACTTTAAACATTCATAACCGTTTCCATTATGTTAAAAACTGTTTCTTCTAACCAATGCTGTAAATATTTTTCTGACGTTCTCCATTACACGTGGCATCTATTGCAGTTCTGTCCATCCTTAGAGAGGGATTACTCACATGTGGCTCTCTGAGGTTTCTACGTTCTTTTTTCCCTGTTAAAAGCTGCTTTACAAATATAATTTCATTGATTGATTGATCATTAATGCTACAAACATAGTGCGGAGTGTTGGGAGGTGTTGGCCTCTTTTTAAAATCCTGTCCACAGCCCTCTACATTTCTGTCCCTCTCTGAAGGACACGAGCTGCATTCGAGGCCAAACTTCAGAGGAGCAGCCGGGCCACAGACTTCCGCGTGCCACAGTCCATCTGCACCATGTTCAACGTAATGGTTGATGCCAAGGCCCAGTCAGCCAAGCTGTGTGCCATGGACCTGGGGCAGGAGGTAGGAAAAGGCATAGGAAACTGATTCTCCTCATAACCCAGGGGGACAAAAATGAAGCTGCCATTTAGTCCTAGAGCACAACATGCAGGTGTTTTGTTTGAATTTCATTATTTAAGGTCCTGAAAATCAATTGTTTGGATTTTGAGTGGCATTAGCAGATAAAGGTTTGAAAGCTTTGTGTTTTTTCTCTGTTACTTGAAAACATCTTTCTTACTTTGTTTCTTACCTCTTTTGCACCACTTACATAATTTGACATTTTCCATGTCACCTCTTTCTTTTCCTTTTTCTGCTGCTTTTTGTCTCCTCTCTGTCTTGTGAAAGTTTGTTAGAGACTGGGTAAGTGTGGCAACAAATTCAATTGAAATCTCACCCTCCAGTTCCCAAATGTATAATTAGTCATCAGTTTTCCCTGTCTGTCTTCCTCCACTTGAATTGTTTGGATTTCATTAGCATATGTGTAGATAGCATTGAATATACATGGGATAGAAGTGATAGATCTCATATTTCACAGAATCCCGAGACTGATACCAATTACTAACGATGAATTAATTATTGCTTCGTCCTTCGCTGTTGGTGCTACAAGGCTAAACAAAAGGATTCCTCACAGCATTGCTGCCTCTCAGTTTCCATTTGTCTTATGGTCCCTTCATGGGCTGTGATTCATTGGAGAAACAAACAAACAAGGATTTTATTAAGAAATAATCAAATCATTAAAAACATAATTTGCAATGAAAGTCAATCAAATACGATAAATAGAATATTTGATGTATAAGTATTCTTTTAAAGGATAAAATAAAGATTAATTCATTAAATCATTTGTATTCACCTCGATATCTCTCATTCTTAATCCTTACAGTAGACCGCTGAAGCCCTTTAACTTTCCATCCAACCTGGGGCGACTCTAATTTTACATTTTACCTGAAGACTGTGGTCACTTCTTTTCACAAAGTTTGCTAGGAAAGATGTCAACTCAGAATAAAGATTCTATGTAGCTAACCCTTCCTCCAGAGGTTTCTTTTCCCACATGAATGATGCAACGTGAGATTCTCCGCTAAAATAATTCACAATAGCAACAAATTCTCTGCAGGGCTCAGGTGAGGGTTGTGCAGCAGCCGGAGAAGGGATGTAAACTGTTCATTCTACAGCAAATCGACACTGGGATCCGCTCTTATTACTAAAAGCTGTTTTGAAGTCTTCATCTGTGTCTTTTACTTACATGGTTCTGCTTTTTCATCCGGAGATATTTCTTTTCACAAGTTAGAACCATCATCAACACACCCTCTCACTCACAGTGAGTCCTGCTGAGGATCTCCTGCTGTGTTCTCACATCAGCTTCTCCAGGGTTTTCGCAGAAAGCTGCAGAAACTCTGGAGGCTCTCACTCTGACATTTGCATTTACACATACAGCCCTTGAGGAGAAACTCCGGATAATCTATGGGATTCAGTGCATGTCTGAAAGCAGCTTATCCTGTGGCTACAAGCTCTCACCATGTGGGAAGAAATGACGATGTTGCCTAAGTCCAAATAGCAGTGTTTCTGTAATTCCACTGTGCTGTCCTTCATGTGACTGTGCATAACAATGTATAACATGTACAGTAAAGAAGCACATTGGTATGAATTAAATCATCCTGTGCAAGTTATTTGTTCCCCCAATAATTAGAAAAACTGTAAACAGTCTACAGCCAATGACTATGTCAGTGTGGGCTATAAATGAGAATAGCTACCTAAATGCTTTGTACACAGCTCCGTGCTAATAAGACAGAGAGAAGAGAAATAAATCTGAGTCTGTGTATTTGTGCTGTTGACCTCAGTCAGCTACACTGGTGTGGCCAAATCAGTTCTCACATTGGTGGAGAATTCTCTCTTTCGCACATGTGAGCTTCGTGCTCATGCACTGTGAAGTGCAGCGGGATGTTTGAGAGAGCAGCTTTGCAACACTCGCAGAATGAAGTGAGCAAAACACAGAAGAGCAAAATGAAGAAATCAGCAGTATTTTGGTTTATTTTGGTCAACATCATATTCACTTATTGCCATCAGTCAGCTATGATAACATGTTACTACAGCCTCTCGAAGATTTCAGATACAGGAAGTGGCACACTTAATTAACTTGTCACTTACACACAGAACTTACTTCCTAATGACGCACCACTGACATTGCCTCTCCTATTTTTAATTCCGGACACCCCCACAAAGCCAGGGACTACACCCCCATAATCATGGGATCGCTGAGAAAGAACAACTGACAACTTGTCTCAGCACAAGCAGTTTTATTTCACATCACGTGCATTCAGGCTTAAGAGTAAATCAATCATTTTTGTTAAGTTATTTATTCATTAAGGTATTTAATCTATATGTTGCACACATATGCCTGTAACACTGTTGTGTGTGCATATGCAATAATACTTGAGTTAGCAGGTGAGAAAACAAATTGAAAGGATCACACAGGGACAGGGAGGATCTTGACTCAGTTTGAACATTAACAAAAAGTTATGCACGTCCTATGAATTATTGACATTGATCTAGTTTGTCAGGCTGAGTATCTTGTAATCAACATTTCATTTTTTTGGATGCAGCATATATATAATTACACGTGTACATGCTATGACCCTTCCCATCATGTCCCTTTCTGGTACATATGGTGGTAGGTTAAATGTCATTACAACATTCTCGTTATCTAAACTAAAATAATTCAAGGTAAAACATATTATTGTATGATAATTCTGTTTTAAAACAGAGGATAGTCTGTAACTACAAAATTAATATTAACTAAGATGAACCTGTGTAATATTGTCAATTGTGTCTCTTTAATATCAGACTGTGGTTTCTTAAATAGAATGAGAGGAGTGACATGTTTCATTTTCTTTTTCTTCCTCTGCAGAGACAATACCATTCCCAAATTGACGATCTAATTGAGGAGACGGTGAAGGAGATGATAACTCTGCTGGTTGCTAAGGTACAACATTGCGCAATATACATTCAAACCATGGATGAGTGACTGTTAATATCCCTTGTAGGAAAGAAAATGTCCAGAGACGCATATGGAATGACTTATGACTGATACAAAAAACACACAAAAACAACTATAAAGAGACTCAAGACTTAAGCTGACATGGACATGACACAGTGCTAAAGTCTGTACTGAGTGCAGTACAGCAGAATGAGGACTTGACAGTTGCTTGCAGGCTTAACAATGATTTTTGACTTTTCATTGTATTAGACAGTTAATAATATTTTTGTATTCTCTTGTGTCTCAGTTTGTGGTCATTCTAGAGAGTGTGTTAGCCAAGCTCTCCAGATATGATGAGGGAACACTCTTCTCCTCCTTCCTCTCTTTCACAGTAAGTGGCACATATGTAGTTTTATCACCACCAAAACACTTTCAAATTCATGAAGGACCAGCTTCGTTGGTGCATATATAGATTTTCCAATGCAGTACACTGGGTAATTATTCATTTATCCATTTATCTAAATTACTTATCTGGAAGTGAAGACAACACAACCTGGATGACAGTCAACAAACTTTTGTAGTGTGACAAAAAAGAGACTGGAGTTAACATCCATATTCATTTCTGTAGTTTACATAACAAAAGCAACATGGTCAGTTAAAGGTGGAGCTCTTGGTGACATGTAAACAGGTTGTGTCAGATATTTTATCAGAAAACAGTATCAGTAACAGTATTATCTATAAATTTAAAAAAACACATCTCTAACCTCATTATGAAAATACCACATGTAATGCACCCACAATCAATTTTGCAAGATACATTTGATGCTGCAGTTTGGCTGTAGGCTATAAGCTATCGAGAACTGTGACTCCACCCCCCCCCCCTTTATTTCCTTTTGTTCCCCTATATATATATATATATATATATATATATATTTCTTTTTTTTCTCCACTCGCCCCAACCGGTCCTGGGAGAGGCCGTCCACACCGAGCCCGGTTCTGCCGGAGGTTTCTTCTACCTGGGAGTTTTTCCTCCCCTCTGTTAATCATGCTTGCTCAGTGTGGAACAAGTTGGATTTAGTCTTTTTTAAGATCTTTTGTGCTGCACCCTGAGACAACTGTTTGTTGTGATAYCGTGCTATATAAATACATTTACAATGTAGGTGATAATACAATAGAGTAGTCATCACTACCATCACCAATAATAACAATAATAGATGATCTCAATGTTGTGACAGTGTGGTATGGGGATGGTAGCTCTGAGATGTAGGATAGGGTGAGACCATTTAGTGCCTTGCACACAAACACACTTTTTTTTTTTTAATCAATTCTGTACAATGGTTTTCACTGGTACTCCTCAAGATACCTCACTATTTTAAAATGTTCCTCTGTAACAGTTCATTTCAATTCTTGTTCAATCAGCATTTTATAAAGTGAAATATACAAAACCATATTATAGACTTGATACATTTATAATATATGCATTATTAATGACTCAATCATGCTGAATTTCAAAACCAATTATTTTATACTTAATCTTAATGCCAATTTTAATACAAGTTGACAATGTGCCTCTGCAGAAAACAGCTTAACAACTCAGCTGGTTTCCCCCCTGTATCACAAAGCCATGTTTTTGAATATGTGAGTGCACTTTTGCAGCTGAAATCCCCATGAGTCATTGCTAGCAACAACAGACTGTGCAGTGTCCCCACAGCAGCCTTCGTTCTGAGAGCGGAGCCACAGCTGGAGACTGTTTTTTCACCCCTCTCTCTCTCTTTTCTGCCAAGGTGAAAGCTGCTTCAAAGTATGTGGATGTACCTGTAAGTGAAACCTATTTATCTTTCTAAATCTCTTCTATATATATATATATATATTTTTAAATTGCTTTAATTGACATAATTTTTTACAAAATACATTAATTTAGCACTAATTTGACAATTTGACAAATGTATTAGAAGGAAGTGTGATGTCCTGGTTAGAGTCAGACTTCTATCACACACTCAATATATAAAACATTAAACATAAGTGGATGGTTTGTGGCTCTGAAAATAGTGACCCTTGCCTGTTAAGAAGAACCAAAAATTATGATTGATTTGTAATACCCCCCCACAAATTACAATAAGAGAAAAACTATTTTAAAAAAGCAAATACATTCAAAGGTGCAGTGTGACATTTGTTGCTAACAACTCTAACTGTATGGAGTGTGTGTGAATCATTTTTACACATGTATGTGTAGTTATTGCACCGTGTTTATGAGTTATTTCACATTTTTCCAGAGGTTAGTGACATTCAAAATAAAAACAATTCAAACAGGCAGGAAAACAGATATGCAGAGGGTTGTTAGTCATGAGTTGACAAACTAATTAACTAACTAAATCTGTTAGCACTGTTGCAACAGATTTGTCAGTCTCTGTCCACACGTGTTCCACCATCGCCATGTCATCATTTCTGCATCTTCAAAAGAAGAAACAAAGAAGTGAGTGTGATGCTTGATCAGAAGAAAGGTCGTGTTGATTGGACAAAACTGCAAGTTTGTGTATAATTCAGGGGAATTGGTTGAAATCTCATTAATAATTATCTTAATTTCGTCATCACAACATAAAGTAACATCAAGTGTTTGTTTCTGAGAAATCTTTAAATGGTTTCGTTAATACCATGCACCATGACGCAAGTTCACTAATAATCCACATAATCCAGGCTGAAGTGCAACAGTTGCAGCCAATAAAATCCGACAGTGTGAATATGTCAGTTAACAGGCTCATAACTTTCCCATTATTGGGGCAAGGCTGGATCTGACTATCATGGCATTTCTGTATTCCATGAACTTAACCTGTTGCTTACATGTGTTCTTAGCCTTGATTTTTCAAGCAGTGGTGTGAAACAGACACCAGAGCAAATCATTATTATTATCTTTTAAACCTCTCATAGTGGACGGTATTGGTTTACTTTCATATCTAAAAATCTAAAGAACACTGATTAGGTGCTTCAACCAGTCTCTGTTTTTGGATTCTTTGACATTACTGCAGCCAACAGGAAAAGAAAGAAAGTAAAGATGACAGAAGGAAGCCTTTCCTCCCAGGGGTTAACTTCTGAGGAGAAGCTGTTCCTCTGCATCTATAAGGGTCACCAGGGAAAGCCTAAGGGCTTTGTTCTCTGAACTTACAGAGCCTCTCATGATCCACGAACAAATATGGTTTCCCATGTGATTGATGATGTATAACGTCCTATGAGATACTGGCGTAAGCATTTCCAGTGGCTAACAGTAGTTGTTATGTCCGAAACAGTATTGGTGGTGTATATATTTTCTAAAGCCACTTTTTCAGGTCGTCCTCCAATCCCTTGATAGTAGAAGGCAGATGAAGGATTATATCATCTCATTTGAGAATAATCATTTGATGTTTCCACATTTGATCAAAAATCAATCAAGAAAAAGGGTTAGTGTACCATTGGCATACACTGTTAATGACCATTCCTCGGGAAATAAGCTGTTTCCGGTTCCTCCATCTCATCCCAACAGCCCTCTCAGTCCCCTGTTCTGTGCACATGCACGACTAGCCTTGTTGCTGATAGTGTTATGTCGTCCAGCTTTCTTTGTTTCCAAATACAGAGCCAGGGCTGTGCATTTATTTTTGTATTTCAAATACAGAGCCAGGGCTGTGTATTTAATCCAGATTTAGTTTCATTGCACAAAGAGCATGCAGCTGGAAGACAGTGGAAAAGCAAATTTAGGTGAGATTTAGAGAAAGGGATTTTTGGCAGAAATTGAATATAAAATAATTTTCATGATGTTTTCACTTGTGTGTTTCATCTAAATTGTATGAATTGTATTTTCTCTACCATAGAATGGGCTCTTTATATTGAAAAACTTTATATTTACATGGAGGGGGGTCCTCTCTGTGGAGGCCGCCATGTTTTTTACTGTCGTCCAAACTGGACAAACTAAAACCTTTTGAGTTTTCATGACAACTGAAGTTCACCACAGATTCTCTTTCATGTTGGGAAGTGGAGGGTGAAATAAGGAGTATTCAGCTGCAACATTAAACATCACCTCTAGGTGTCAATATATTCTACACACGGAACCTTTAGTGGTTAAATTATGGTCTTTTTACATCTCATATTGATCTTAAACCAAAGATTTTAGGGTGGTTTTAAGGATTATAATGAACACACTGTTCTCTTGTAATGCATGTGTGTTTCTTGTGCATTTCTTGTGCATGTACAAATATTTGACTATGCTTTCACATGTAGAATCATCATCCAGATGGTACTGGTTGTCATATTTCCACATCAAATGTTCCTGTGTTTCCTTCGCCCAAATGTCCATTCATATGCATGTGGCCAGACAGCCAGCCATGCCTCGTGCCTCGTGCCTCTCTCTCTGTGCAGTATACATTGTGAGTCCATGTTGGACAACACATGCCCACTCTACTGTTAGTGTAGCAGCGGGGGTGGTGTGTGCGTGTGTGTGTGTGTGTGTGTGTGTGTGCATGCATGAGATCCGTATTAGCTGCCAACACTTTGGCCGCATCAACATGCCAAATTTCAAATTAATGCCTTGTCAGTGAATGTGACGAGGCACTGTGTACGCTGACAGGGGTCGCAGTTTCCAGCCCAGCACGTTAATTATGTCCTTAATGTCCAAAATTAGTTTCACTGGTGAAAAAGACACTCATTTACTCATTGTAACACCATTGCAGATGTGTTAACTAAGTTTAGTAGCAGATGGTGATTAGTTCTTTCCATAACTTTTGGAATCTATGTCAGTGGGAGAAAAGCGAGAGAAATGGTGACAAAGGTTAAAAGTGTGTTGTCTTGAAAATGGTAGTGTCAGAAAGACAACTCAGGTGCCGTTTACAAAAACGTTCTCCTCAATGACTATGTTAGGTGTCAGAATGACAGGCCTCTTAACAATCTGCTTTCCCTATTAAACCCAAGTGTCTCCAGCGCCTCTGTTCACTTTGCACATGCACAGACTGTAAGGGTTGGTTTTCAGCCAAGCTCAATTTCTGACAAGACCTGCCTAAAGAACATACAGTAACTGCCCTCAAGCCGGCCTCCTTGTAAAAGAAACATTTATTATCCAGATGATAACTGAACATTTTAGAAGATAATCTCCTTTGAATTTTAACTTCAAATGTGTAAAATGTTTTGTTATTCTGAAGGCCCTGACATAAAGTATCAAAAAGCTGAAATTCTAATTGCTACAGTGCTATATTGAAAAAATACCCATATGTTTCACATTGTACAATTTACTGGTTATCTGGTTAATATTATTTCTAATATCCAACTTCACTGCTAGATTTTTTTAAATGTGAAGCCAACAATATTTTTACAAATCCCTCTGAAAAGATCTTCTCTAAGAGTCTCATATATTCATGTATATTCTTTATTAGCTAGTTTTAGCTCTTAATCGAAGCAACATGATCCTACTGAATTTAAACTACAGGCTGTGGGTTTTTGTGGCTGTATTTGAACAAACATCATTATTATTATTACTATTGAATATTATGATGGCGATAATGTGCAAATATCATATTCCTCAATGTTCAGTGTATTTTATCTTTGGAACTTTTAGGATCTTATCTTGATTTTAGGATTGACCAGGAAGTTTAACTTAATTTTCTTTTAAGAAGGTATCTCAATGTCTGTGTCACAGTTTTGTTGTTTTAACTATGAGCTTGAAATGAATATTTATATAATTTTTAAATTATATATTCATATTTATATTCTATATTTTTATTTTCCTTAGAACTAGATGAAATAATATTTCAACCCTGAGCTGACTGAGCGAATTTCATGTTCTCTTTTCCTGCCTCCTCTCTTTTACCCTGTGCCTTGCAGAAGCCAGGGATGGATGTGGCTGACGGTTATGTAACGTTCGTTCGTCATTCCCAGGACATGCTGCGGGAGAAGGTCAATGAGGAGGTGTACATAGAGAGATTATTTGATGTAAGTAAACCACAGCACCTCCACCACCAAAGAGGGACTTAGTAACACAAGGTTTAATTTTCTCCACCAGGAGATTAAAAAGAACCCAAGGCGTTCCTGAGTGAACCAAAGTCAAATGATAACATCCAGGTGATAACTGACTCAAACTTAATCTTAGAGGAATAGATTGAATACAATATAAAATGTGTGTGTCGGAGAAATATGTCATTCACTCCCCCACATGTATTGTCAGTTTAGTTCAGCTGCATCTCAGCTGTCCCCCACCATACTCTTCACATCACTCCTGCTTTTATGTCTTTCTTCTATCTCATCTTCATCTTAGATATGAACACGAGACATGAGATTTCCACACCACCAGAGACACTAAAAGTTGTTGTCTTGGTCACAGCACAATTATAAAAATGTTACTGCACCACGGAGTCTGTCCACTGTTGACGGCACTGTCAGTGGAAACGAGTCGCGCTGAGCTGCCTCACACTGTCTGATGTACAGCTGCCCTCAGTCACCTCTCTCTGCCTCCTTCACTGTTAGTTTGTGGGTGGATCATATAAAGATACGATTCTGCCACTCTATTGCTCCTGATTTGCTCTGCATGCATGTACTGTGGGTCTTCACAAACTTGGGCTCCTCTTAACTGATGCATCAACTCATTGACTTTCAGAATTAGGGCATGATAGAGTAAGGGCAACAGTCACTATGGAATTTAATTTTAAACTCGTTGGATCCTATATTCAGCTTAAAAATCTACTAAAAAGCTTGAAATATTGCACATATATTTCATATTCAGTATTTTCTTCCTCATATAGTGTATCTGCTACTTTTAGCCTGTCCTCGGCTGAAATAAATACTGCAGTGGTTGTATGTACAAATATCTAAACTGACTATAGGTTTATTGACAATACTTTAATACATTTTATGATACAAGATGTCAGAGAACAACGAATGTCCTTGACTTTTTTTTATTATCGTCCCATGTGCAGCATTGGTTTCTTGTTACCATTACTCAAAGTAGATTAAATTAAATAAGTAACTAAATTAAATAGTAATATTTTAGATGTTTTGTGAATAATCAAAATATATCCTGGTGTATTCGGTATCTTTTGAATCACTGCTACAAGGTAAAATTAAACTGGGTTTGTTTTGATACACCTGTAGGGGAGTCTGGCAGGTTCAAAAAATGTTAATCCTCATTTAACAAAGTCAGAAGTGCATTAATCCTGTATCTCAGTCGTGCAGCTTCATGTCTTTCTGGTCTTTGCGAGTCACAACTGAGTGTACTGATGCATCAGTGTCCGTCCCACCAGCTGACAAACTGTAATCAACCCAAGCTGTAATCAACTTGCAAAACAGTCTCATGACACTGTTTGCCTCCCTAATGTGAGATGAGGTCAAGTAACAGCAACAAAATCAGTAAATCTCTAAGCCTGGCTGCTGAGTCTCCTCTTGGGTCAAACTGGCTGCTTTCTCCCCAAATGTGTTAAAAACGATCCCTGCAGCCGTTGCGGCTCTCTGTGTATCCATCTCTGCTTCTCTTTTCAAAATCAAACTCTTGAGTTTGTATGCCACCGTCTTTCTCCGTTTGCTCCTTTGTCTCATGGTGTTTCTGTGCAGTGTGTGCGGATCTTGAGGAGGGATTATCCTCAGCGGTACTCTTTCTTTCAGTCAGCAAACAACAGTTAATCAACTGAAAAAGAGGCACAAAAGATCGTTAAGTAAGTTGGTTAAGCTCCATGTTTACAAGCAGCCACCCACCACAGATTCTGTCCACATTTTCCTTTTTTGGGCCTTACAAACATCTCATCAGCTAGTTTTGCAGAAAGCATTAAAACTGAGGTTAAGGATTACTCTGTGAAAAGATAGAGGCGGCACATTTGAGGCGCAGCTCCGTCTTTTTGTGCAACACATTCTAGCCATGGCACAAAATGGAGATAGGGTGCTCGCTAAGATAAGATTGATACACAAAAAAATGGTGCAAATGTTTTAACACACGTCACAGATTTCTGTTTTTGTGTATATTGCCTTTAAGATTCTTATTTACATAACGGATATTATGTAGATTGAAAGTGCTGTGTTTAGGTCCCTGGCCTGACAAACTGAGCTAGAGCAGTTTAAAACCTAACTCTAAGATCTTGTTACACTACTGAACACCAGACCAGCTCATGTTTATGCACTCACACAGATGAGTCTGGTCCTCTTTCCCATTCAGACCAATTTCCATCTGTCCTGAAACTGGATGGGCCAATCACAACAATGTATCTGAAGTGGCGTCGCTGAAGAATTTCTGATTAAAACCAATGTGAATGCATCTGATGTGGAAATGTAGATACAGTAGCCTATCAAACCGGCTAGACTGAATTTTTTTTCAAGAACAGCAAAAGGAAGAATTGTATTATATTATACTTTCAATATGTATGTTACACGTTTCATTGCTGTCACTGGCTGCTGCTCTGCTCTGCTCTGCTCTGTGATTGTTGTTAACTCCCCTTGGATATGCGTGCCAACACAGTGTTCTCTGCTTCACCCTCATGCCAGGCCTCAGAAATACTTTGTTGTGTCCATGATGATGTATACAAAGATGCTTTCAGACGAATTGAACTCCGGAGATCCGCCAGACATTCTCCGGAGTGGGAACACAAATGAATAAGAGCCTTTGGACTTTTCTGCGGACTTTCTCCAGCCAGTCTCCTAATAAAATGAGGGTAGAGTATCCAGAAGAGCAGATGTGGGAACACAGCAGGAGATCGTCCGCGGGATTCACCACAAGCGAGTGGTGGTGACATTTATAACACTAGACAGTTGCAAAGATGACAGAAACAAAAAGAAAAGAAATATCAATAGATGGAAAGGCGGAGCCATACACATAGAAGACAGGGTTTGTGATTTTAGGGGCTGGTGTTAATAAGCTGTAAACAAATACATGTGATTTCTGCAGCAGAATTTGTATGTTACATCCTGACTCTGTCTGCTACTACAACCCTCACCACCTGAATGCTCACCACCTCCTGCACTGTTAATGTGTGAACAGTAACCTCCACAGAAAGTCAGAACCCAATTATCCGTACATCCTAATCTTGTGAAAATGCTCAAATGTGGCGAACTAACTACCTCGCTGAGTCCTTTCCCTGGGGACACACCACACTGCAGTCAGGAAACTGTGTGTACAGTAATCTGAGTTCAAAGACTAAAGGGGATAATCTGTGATCTCAGAGTGAAGACGATCACACAAACATGTTTTGTCCAACTCAGAGTCTTAGCTGAAATGCATCTCTAAGCATCTTGATAAAGATATACATATACCTTAGTCTTTTCTTGTTGGACTGTTTGCCCACAGACAAAGATGTGAGAAGTCTTCTTTCAATTAATTCACTTCTCACTTTGTGTCACTTCACTGTCTCACTTCTCACACTGTTTTATGTTTTCTTTATTTTTTTCAAATTTTATCTTTTAAGCAATTATTTTTGAATAATTCTTGTAACTTTTTATTCCTTTTGCTTCTGTTATATTTTACAGACAGATTTGAGTTTTTTTTTTTGGAACATTTCATGTGCACTTACTCTTAGTTTAGAAAATATGCATTCATGTTTTTTAACTGTGTAGCAGATCTCAGTGATGAACTTAAATCAGTAAGTGGAAAACCAGAATCAATTTTAAAAGACTCACAGAATAATTGAAAAATAATGAAAAGTTTAATCACATTTAAAGCAAATCTAATAGAAATAATTAGCTGAAGCTTTCATCATTTGTATTTGAGTGAAGGCTGAAGGGTGGAGGAGCTGGAACAACAGACTGATAGGAACATCATGCAGGTTGTGTAGTGATGTCAGCACGTTATTCTGACTGAGTTTCTCATTGTTGGAGTCTCTGCTGACTTAACAGTTGCATCTCTCGGTTCCTGCCTTTGTGTTGAATTGAGGCCTTGAGGTGGAAAGTGTCTCCTCTTGCTCTGTGCTCGTCCTGACACAGGGTGACAGAGAGGTGTCCGGTGCTGGATGTTTGCTGTTCATAACCCGTTGCCTCCCTGTGTTACCTCCTTTCCTTCACAAAAGCATTTCTGCTGGGATCCATCTCACCCCTGGCTTCTCTTCGTTGTCATTCCATATCACTTCTCCCTGCGGCCGATGAAGGTGTCTCTGGCTGCTCTCTGCAGCTCTGTTGTGCTTTTCTTGTCACTCTACCCTTTTTTGATCTCTTTCTTCTCTTTTTATCTGGTTAAGGCTGGAAACACACAAGATGGTGCATTGTGCTTGACTGCAGCCTTTGAGGCAGAGTTGTTTTTTTTAGATACATACACTTCCTAATGTTGAAACTAGTATAGCTTATTATACTGTATAATAGATTGATACACTGACGTATGTAAGGTATTTCTAGGGCCCCAAAATCTGGTTTTAGGGGGA